TGCCGCTATCGTTCCGGTTGCATTGTTATGCGAAAGAAATAACAAAACACAAAAAGCCGATTGGATCCAATTCCTTATGACGTCGGTATATGTAAATTTGAGAATTTGTGTCATCGTATGTAATATAATCAGTCGGATCAATTGGCCACTCAAGATGTAAATAATCTTTTTTCAATTGGAGCAAGAGCACAATTAGAACAAATATTGAATTTATCATTATAAAGGCAAAAGCAAACATGTTACGTAATTCTCTCAAACTTTCCGCAATCTCGGCCTTTTTATCCTTTGTATGAAACAATGGACGCAAATACAGCTTTATTAAATCTTTCCAAAAACGTTTTTCTTTCAGAGATATCTCTCCCAATTCTGAATCTACTAATAATGGATCGTTGACCCAACCAGGTAAATACTCTTGACCACCATCTTCAACATCATCACCAGGTACTAGACCGATACCGTCGTCCTTGTAAAAAATTATTTTACGTAACTGCATGTATCTACGAGAATTTGTAACGACAATACCTTCTTTACTGTCACTTCTCTTGTACCCCATGAAACATCATTCATATTAAAGACTGAGTAAATAAGAAGGAGCATGTACATGGAAGGAATGGTAATATAATAGATGAAACCGCATATTAACGCTCCGACTTCTTGGGGATGCACTATGCCTAGATGTGTAAAGTGTGAATAATTGTTATCAAATTAGTTGGTAACTTGAATACCAGCGATGAAAATTTGCATAAAAACCAGAAGAAAAAGTAGGGAGGCCGGTGCCGGAGGTCCGTCGTCTATCATCTGTATAATTATGCCAATCAATACAGCCATCATCATCATCAATACAGCCATCAATTCCCAAATATTCCTTATCTTGAATGAAAGGTAGTTTATAGCGAAAGACATTGTATAGGAAATACAAATAGATGATTTTGGTCAATATTCGATTGTAATTTATCTGAAATTTTTGTTTTAAATAAATGCACGACAGAATGAAGCAAAACACAGGAACGAAGTTCCACAAGAATGAGCTCCAAATACTTGTGCTGAAAACAGCTACCAAAGCACCCACCATCATCAAGAATATAGTACCTGGACCCAAAATTGTGCCAACCATTAGCATGGCCTGATAAACAATGTACGGCGTTGAAATGGAACTATTATTCTGCACGACCATATCCGCATCGGAAAGTAAATCAAATATATTTGCAATTGTGGAGGGAACCCAACGTCGTCGTTGATTATAGAATTCATTGAACATCTCGGGTGAATGAGTATAAGCGTCCGATGCAGCTGAATATTCTACACGTAAGCCCTGTTTCAAAATCAATGTACATAACCACCGATCTTCTCCTTGGTCATACTGCGCATAGTGCATGGGTTCATTCGATACCATAGTATATTTTTTCATTACACTATTTTCCATTAGTGCACTACCACGAAATAAATTAAAACCACCGGGACTACAGAGCACACAACCAATAACGTGTTCCGTAGCTTTTTGCAGCCAATGACCCATCGCATATTCAAATATTTGATACCAGACCATGGGTCCACGACCGACAGGATGAATACGTCTACAAGCAGCGCCCAATTCGTCTATGGCTTTCATGCGATCAACCAGTAGCTGCACGGCTTGAGGCTGGAAGTCAATATCGCCATCCAATGCCAAAAGAAATGTGTTCTCAGCAATAACTGCTTTGCGTCGTGCCGATATATCTTCAATTTCCATAATGCGGAAACCAAGTAAATAGTACATATACATGACTTGAGACCAACGCTTTTTATGTCTTATTTTATCTTTATTCTTTAGATGAGCAATCATTTTTGATCGACCTGGTAATGTCCATACGAGGCGACCACCATAAGGTGTTTCGGTCTTTACTGGAGACTTGATATTCATGTTGACCCCATACACTTCGAAGCATTCTTTATACTGACAAATAAAGTTTTTACATATTCATTCATTGGGGGATTTCGAGAATTCTCGCATAGCTTTTCATCCAGCACAAACGCGTCGTCGAAAAATATATTGGCTAAAGTATAGGTAATATGGGATATTAATTTTCACTTGCAAGAACAAAAATAATATATATAAACATATTTATAAGAAATGTTATTATAGTCAAACGTGCTTCATAAAACTCCTAATTTTTGCTTTAGAGCAGCTCTGGTCACACCCGTAATCGGTAAGGTAAATAGTATACATTATTGCTGTTACTACGTATTTGTAGATGTCAGCTGACAGCTCTGGTTTACCTACAACTTTTATTTAAAATTTTTTCCGATTCCGGTAGAGAATAAAAACAAATAAAGAAGGACTAAGTTCAGATATAACTCACTGCAACTTGCCCGGATCAAAACCCGGAAACTACTTTCAGATGTTGGCAAAACTTGCAACTTGAACGGTTGA